AGCAGGCGCCTCCAGCCCACTGGGTCCCACCGCGGCTTGCCCACAAGCATGCACGCCGTTGCGCGCCCCCTGCGGCACGCCCCCGGGCAGCCCAGCGTGCTGGCCCCCCTGCCCCGCCTGCAGGGCCCCACCCCACAAGCGCACCCCTTCCCGTGCCTCCCGCCCCCCCCGCCCCCCGCTCCACCAGCGCCCCCGCCAGCTTGCTGCCCCCAGCCCTGCACCGTGCGCCCTGACGGGGCTGGCCTCAGAGCCCTCCACTAGCACCGCCTCCACAGACGCCATGGACAGGTGAGGCACCACGTCAGAGCTGGCAGGCAGGGGGAGGGAGGGAGGGTGGGGTGGAGTGGGGTGGGGGCCGCAGGGGGTGGCAGGGGGAGGCATGCGGGTGTGCGAGAGTGCCGAGGGGATGGGATGGGCGGACCTTGCTGCCGGGAGCGCCGCCGCTTGCGCAGCTGGCGGCGCGACCGGCCGGTGGAAAGGCACACGCACACACACGCACGCAAGAGAGCAGCCATGGCCGCGTGCTGATGCCAAGGCCGCCCACACCCGCGCCTGCACCACCCCCCGCGCTCACCCCACAATGACAGACGTCACCAGGTCCTCGCACTTCTCCGCCAGAGGCCGGCTCATCACCGCGGCTGCACCGCCACGGTGCGGCAGGCGGGTCAGGCAGGCAAGGGGGAGGGGCGGCTCAGGGCTTGGCGGCGCGCCTGGCGGCAGCAGCACCGTGGGACCCAGGGTGCTGCAAACACAGGCAACATGGGAAACTGCGGCACAGCCATGGGTAGGCAAGGGGGGCGCACGGCACGCCCCCCTCGCCTCTCCTCCATCGCCACTGCTCCCGCCCCACCCCAGCCGCCGCCTCACCCGTGCCCATCGTGATGCACCGCACCGGGCCCATGCCCTCGGGCAGCCTCGACTCCTGCAGCAGCAGCGTGACCAGCGCAGCCACCCCCCCTGCACAGCCAGGGAGGCACGCCAGCGGCGCAGGAGAAAGGGCGCGGTCGGCGCAGCTGCCTCTGAGCTGCGCAGTCCCGGCCACACAGGCATGGTGGGGAGGGCCCGCGGGCTGCTCACCTCCCAGCGAGTGTCCGACCAGCAGCAGCGGCCAGCCGGGGCAGCGCCGCGCCGCCTCCTGCAGCGCCTGCTGCGTGTTACAGTGGATGAAAGTGGCGGCCGAGAAGATGCCCTGCAGGGGATGGCGGCGTGCATGGCAGCCACAGGGGTGCGGCGCCTCGGGCGGCCGCGGCG